CCCTGTGCCCTGCGCCCTGTGCCCTGTGCCCTGCGCCCTGCCCCTGTGCCCTGTGCCCTGCGCCCTGTGCCCTGTGCCCTGTGCCCTGGCCCTGTGCCCTGTGCCCTGTGCCCTGTGCCCTGTGCCCTGTGCCCTGTGCCCTGCGCCCTGTGCCCTGTGCCCTGCGCCCTGCCCCCTGTGCCCTGCGCCCTGTGCCCTGTGCCCTGTGCCCTGTGCCCTGTGCCCTGCGCCCTGTGCCCTGTGCCCTGCGCCCTGCCCCCTGTGCCCTGTGCCCTGCGCCCTGTGCCCTGCGCCCTGTGCCCTGCGCCCTGTGCCCTGTGCCCTGTGCCCTGTGCCCTGTGCCCTGTGCCCTGTGCCCTGTGCCCTGTGCCCTGCGCCCTGTGCCCTGTGCCCTGCGCCCTGCCCCCTGTGCCCTGTGCCCTGCGCCCTGTGCCCTGTGCCCTGTGCCCTGCGCCCTGTGCCCTGTGCCCTGTGCCCTGTGCCCTGTGCCCTGTGCCCTGTGCCCTGCGCCCTGTGCCCTGTGCCCTGCGCCCTGCCCCCTGTGCCCTGTGCCCTGCGCCCTGTGCCCTGTGCCCTGTGCCCTGCGCCCTGTGCCCTGTGCCCTGCGCCCTGCCCCCTGTGCCCTGTGCCCTGTGCCCTGTGCCCTGTGCCCTGTGCCCTGCGCCCTGCCCCCTGTGCCCTGTGCCCTGTGCCCTGTGCCCTGTGCCCTGTGCCCTGTGCCCTGTGCCCTGCGCCCTGCCCCCTGTGCCCTGTGCCCTGTGCCCTGTGCCCTGTGCCCTGTGCCCTGTGCCCTGCGCCCTGCCCCCTGTGCCCTGTGCCCTGTGCCCTGCGCCCTGCCCCCTGTGCCCTGTGCCCTGCCCCCTGTGCCCTGTGCCCTGTGCCCTGTGCCCTGTGCCCTGTGCCCTGTGCCCTGTGCCCTGCGCCCTGTGCCCTGCGCGCAGGAAGCTGCTGAGCTGGTCGTCGGCGTCCACATCGGGCTACCAGGCGCTGCTGCCGCCGTCCTGTGTGCTCATGGTGGCGCAGGGCTCCAAGCAGCTGCACTCGCTGCCCGGCACGGGAGGGGCACAAGCTGCCTTCCCCATACCTCCCAACCCCTTCATTGGCTGTCGCTACAACGCCTCTGCCGCGCCCTCACTGCAGTCGTCTGACTCTGGCGCCGCCTCTCCCGACTCGCAGCACAATGGCTCTGCCCCTTATGCAGCCCCCCACCGCACCATGCCCACGTCGCTGTCGGCTGCCAGCGACGCCTCTGCCCCCGCCTCCTCCCCCAGCCACAGCCTGTCCTCCAGCGGCCAGTTCTCCCTGCCGCCTGCCGCGCCTCACTGCACTCCGCCCGACCCCTCCGCGCTGGCCGCCCCTGACAGCCCCCTGGCGGACGCCGCCTCGCGTGTGGCGCAGTGCGCCGCTGCGGCGTCCAGCACGTCCACCCCCAGCGCCGGCACTCCCGGGGCATGCACGCCCACGCACGCTCAGGGGCTGGCAGCAGCGCGCTCAGACGGGGCAGCAGGGGGGCCGTGGGAGTCGCCTGTGCGAGGCGGCTTGTCGTCCATGTCAGTGGGGGCCAGTCCGCTGGGGGCCAGTCCGCTGGGGGCCAGTCCCCTCGCACCCATGTCAGCGAGCTCACACCCTGTGAGTGGTGGGATTGTCTTGCATGTCTGTGTTGCACGTTGGTGCACGCGAAACCCTGAAGCAGCCCATGGAGCTGGGTGTCACCTGCCAGCCTCCTCTGCTGCGTTCGTCGCATCTCACATGTGCACGTCATTGCTTGCAGGAGCCGGGTGTGGCGAGTGCAGCAAGGCAGTCCCTGGACGCCGACCCCCACAGCGCTGAGAGGTTCCGCCGCTGCTCCTCCGATGTCGGCATGGCCCGGCCCTCCGGCCTGCCGCCCATCCACTCCTCGCTGCCGGGCGCGCATGGCTCCAGGGAGCATGTGCGCGCGCTCTCGTCCAGCACCAGCGCGCTTGACTCTGCTGCCGCTGCTGCGCGCCTGTCCCCTGCGCTCAACGGTGGGGGGCGGCGCGGCGGCGTGGAGGCGGCAGTGGCGCTGGTGGCGCTGGAGGAGGAGAGGGAGGAGCCTGGGGGGGGACAAGGGGCGGGGCAGGGGGAGGATGGGGAGGCGGGTGGGAGTGCGTCGCGGTCGCTGGCGGACGAGCTGGCGCGGCTGGACGAGGAGGAGGAGGAGGGCGCGCAGGGGGGGGGGAGCGCTGGGAGGGCAGAGCTGTCAGCAGCAACCGCCTGGCGGAGAAGGGAGTGGATGCAGCGGGGGGAGAGAGCCGATCAGGGGTCAGTGCCACTGTGCAGCGACCCGCATGCCTCATGTGCACAATGCATTGTGCTCGCTTCTCACTGTCGTGTCTCTGTGCTCGTTTGTGTGTGCTCGCTGTGCGCGGTGCCTTCCATCAGGTGCCTTCCATCGGGTGCCCACATGCATGTTCCATCGGGTGCCCACATGCATGTTCCATGGGGTGCCTTCCATGCATGTTCGTTTCGCCCCCCACCTCTCTGCCCCATGCACGTGGCATGACCCGCAGAGGCAGTCCCTGTCGCAGCAGCGCATGCTGCACGTGAGTGGGCCGCACGCCCGGCACTGGAGTCGCGACCACGAAGATGGCGCCTCCACGCCCGCCTTCGCACCTGCAGGTCCGGGGGCAGCAGCGGCATCAGGGGCATCAGGGGCATCGGGGGCATCTGGGGCGTGGGCGGGTGCAGGGGCAGCGGGGGCGGGGGCGTTTGAAGGGCTGTCCACGGAGATGCAGTGGGGCGCTGCCACTGCCAGTCGCTCGCGCGACTTCTCCACGCGCATGTCGTGGCAGCGCTTCCACGCGCACTCCTCCCAGACCGCTGGCAGTGGCGCAGGGGGGGGGCTCTCCATCAGCCGCTCCTCCTTTGGCGCCGGCCCACTCAGTCCACGCTCCGCCGCCCAGCTGCTGAGCGAGGGCGGCATTGACTGCCGGCTCTTCTCTCCGGAGCAGCTGGAGCGCGCCACTGGGGGGTACAACGCGGCGAACCTTCTAGGAAGGGGGTCGTTCGGGCAGGTGTTCCGTGGCGAGATGCTTGGGTGCGCGGTGGCGGTGAAGCGGCTGGAGGGGCAGGGGTGGCAGGGGCCCGAGGAGTTCCGCATGGAGGTGGAGGTGCTCAGCCGCATGCGCCACCCCAACATTGTGCTGCTCATGGGCTGCTGCGTCGAGGAAATGGCGCTCGTCTACGAGTTCCTCCCAGGCGGCACGCTGCAGGACAAGCTCGGCCCGCCCACGACTCCCGATGATGTGCCTCTGAGCTGGGCGGACCGGCTGCGCATTGCGGCGGAGGTGGCGTCGGCGCTGCTGTACCTGCACCAGAACGAGCCGCCCATTGTGCACCGCGACCTGAAGCCGGAGAACATCCTGCTGGACGCGCACGTGGGCAGCAAGATCGGCGACGTGGGGCTGGCGCGCCTGCTGGAGGCGGACGGGGCCACCACCATGAAGGTGCGCGGCACGGCGGGGTACATCGACCCCGAGGAGGTGGAGACGTGCGAGATCAGCACGCTGTCCGACATCTACGCCTTGGGGCTCATCCTGCTGCAGCTGCTCACGGGGCAGAAGAGCGTCAAGGCCGTGCACCGCATGCTGGCCGAGGCCGCCTCCAAGGGCAGGCCGCGCGCAGGGGGCGTGGGACCGGGGGGGGCGAGCGCGGAGGCGGTGGCAGTGGTGATGCGGCACGTGGACACGGTGGGCGGCGAGTGGCGCAGCGACCTGGTGGAGCAGGTGGCGGGCGTGGCGCTGCGGTGCGCCGACAGGCGGCGGGCCAGGCGGCCAGAGCTGGCGGGAGAGATCCACCCGCTGCTAGTGCGCGTGGCGGCAGAGGCGGAGGCGGAGGTGAAGCGCAGGAAGCAACAGATCGACCAGCAGTTCATATGCCCCATCTCCAAGGTGAGCGCCGCAGCACTTGGATGGAGCAGCAGTTCCTGTGCCCCATCTCCAACTCCAAGGTGCGTGCGGCCTGCAAGACATTGCAAAATGATCACGAGGAGTTCGAGTAGGAGTGGAGTGCCAGTGCCACTGGCAGGGGCTGTGAGCGCAGCACAGTGATTGCAAAGAGTAGCGAGATCCCTGTGATGACACCTGCTTTAACCACACTGAAACTGTGCCACTCCCTGCACGTACACACATGCTCCTGCTGCTCCTTGTGCCTCTCCGGCCTCTTCCCCCCTCTGCCCTCCTCGCCCTTTTCCTCCTTCCCTTTCTCGTTTCTCCCCTCTTTCTTTCCGCGTGCCTCTCCCTTCCCTTCTCTGCCTAGGCCAAGAGCAACTGTGTGAGGGCGGGTGGAGGGCAGGCGGATGGAGGGCAGGCGGGTGGGAAACTCAGCCAAACTGACTGCTCTTGCCAGCTGTGGGCAGGGGGGTAGCACAGGCGGAGAGGGAAGCGAGGGGGGGAGTAGGGGAAGTAGAGGGCATTGTGGTGCGCTTCACTTGCACTGCCTGCCCTCCTGCCCTCCTACCCTTCTGCCCTCCTGCCCTCCTGCCCTCCTGCCCTCCTGCCCTCCTGCCCTCCTGCCCTCCTGCCCTCCTGCCCTCCTGCCCTCCTGCCCCTGCTGTAGCGCGCTACCTGCTGTCCATCCATGCGTCCCTCCACTGTGGACCTCCCATGTGCACCGTGTCCCTTGTGACCGCCTTCCCCCCTGCCGCCCCTTGGTGATGGCAGGAGGTGATGCGCGAGCCGGTGGTGGCGGCGGACGGGTTCACGTACGAGCGCGAGCACATGGAGCGCTGGATGGCCGCCTGCACGCTCTCCCCCGCCACGGGGCAGCCCCTCGCGCACACCGCCCTCACACCCAACAATGTGCTCAAGAACCTCATTGCCTCGCACCGCCAGCGATGACGCCTGCTGTGCCGTGGTCTGTGATGGGCATGGCAGTGAATGGCCAGTGTGGCGGCACCGCTCAACGGCGCGTGCTGCTCTCTGTGAACAGCTGCACCTATAATGGCATCATGGGGTTGTGTTGTGTCTGTCAAGAGCATCATTTATCTACCCATGTGGGTTTTTTGCCGATCTGGTAGATACACAGCCCTGTCCTATTGCCATAGTAACTATTATTGCAACATAGGCCAATGCTGCTTCGTGCTTCCTGAACAGGCCACTAAAACTGCACATGGCCCACACCACGCGTGTGCACATGGTCAATACATCTGCACAGCGCCAATTCTACTCAGCCACGGCGTACGTCAAGCAGCGTGCTTCCTTGGCGCATCATCCCGCATGCCTTCCCGCCCGCTACCGCGCCATCTGCGCCCTCCTTTCTACTCGCCTCGCCTCGCCGCCCTTCACCGTTCAGCTAGACACCCATGCTACGTCGCTTTCGTCCCCTTCGTCGCGTGCGACTGCGACTGTTCCTTCTCCAGTCGCCTGACGGCGTCGCCGATGTCGTCGGAGCCCCCCACGGCGCGCATCGTGTACGCGTACACGCCACCCACGAACGCCACCAGCCCCGCCGCCACCACTGCGTTGCGCCCGCGCACGACCTGTGGGCGGATGGGCGGTGCGGGATCCATGGCGCTGGCGATGGGACGCGGGATATGCGGCGAGGAGGGGATGACGAACGGGAATAGCGGACGAAAGAGGGCGAGGAGGGACGCTGAAGAATGGAGGCGCAGAAAGAAGCAAATCGAATATGGTCCAACCCCACATGGACTTCCAACCAATTTGAAACCAATTTGCGAGACGGAATCCATTCACCTGAAGCTGGTAACAAAAGTTTCGCCTGCTCTTCGTTTCGTTCCAACCAACCCAGTCCCACCTGACCTGCGCGCCGAAATTCCGACTGCCACAATATCACACTCAATGGATCCCCGCTTTTAGCACGTCGGCTTTTGGGGTATCCGTGTTTAGCACATGGCCATCAAGGCCCCCCCTGCCTCGTGTCCGTGACACACCCCCCCTGCGCGCGCCCGGCCGCGATGATAATCCGCGTGACGTGCGAGTCGGAGAGGGGGGGCGCGCAGTGCGCGCAATGGGCGCTGGTGGAGCTGCAAGGCGAGCTGCGCGCCGACCTGCCCGCGCTCGCCGCCGCGCTGCCCTCCGCGCTGCCAGGCAGTGGGTGCGCGGGGGGAGAGGCGAGGGGCGGCCACAGCGGGTCCGCGAGTGGCAGCGGGGAAGGCGGTGAAGGTGATTGTGACGTGGGGCGCGCATGGGGGGCGGGGGCCACTCCGATCGGCACGCTGACCTGCCCGCAACAGGTGGGGGCGGAGAGGGTGAGTTTGGAACAAGGGATGCGTGGGAGAGTGGGAGCAGCAAGAGGCCAGATGGGATGGCATGGCATGGCATGGTGTGGTGTGGTGCGGCATCGTACGGAATGCATTTTTGCTACTGCACGGTATGGCGTGATATGGCATGTTCTGGATAGTACGGATCTACAGGCATGGCAGTGGCAGTTTGCACAAGCGGGCGTATGGCATGGCAGTGGCAGCTTTAACTCTCACTGTACCCTTTCTGCCGTGTGTGTGCATGCGTGTATGTGTGTGTGGGTGTGGGTGGGTGGGTGGGTGTGTGTGTGTGTGTAGGGGGGTGTGGGTGGGTGTGTGTGTGTGTGTGTGTGTGTGTGTGTGTGTGCGTGTGCGTGTGTGTGTGTGCGAGTGTGAGTGCGTGTGAGTGTGTGTGTGTGTGTGTGTGTGCATGCATGCCTGTGAGGGGGCCAGGGCGCGGTGCGTTTGACGGTGGGGCACCACCGGATGGAGGGCGCCATGGCAGTGCTGCCCAAGCCGCTGGTGCTGCTGAGGAAGGCACGCGCGCTGCTGCCAGGCGTGGAGCACAGGGAGGCAGCAGCGCAGGCAGAGAGGGGCGCGAGAGGCGAGGGGGGTGGAGTGGAGGGGAAGGATGGGGAGGGGAAGGATGGGGAGGGTGGGGGGCTGGACGCCAGGAGCGGGGGGGATGGCATTGGTGTGGGTGCAGCACGGCACAGCGGCAGTGGAATGGCAGTGGAGGGGGAGGCGAGTGTGAGGTACAGGGTGGAGGGGGTGATTCGGCACAAGCTCATCTTCAAGACGCGCCCCAAACTAGTGCTCTCTAACGCCCAGTAGGGCCGAGTCGATGGGTGAAGGGTGCACAGCACCAGACGGGTTGTCAAAGCAACAGGATTCATTGAAACACGGCTCCATTAGTCCCGGCCCCTGGCCTTACAAGAATACACACATGGGACTCTTAGTATAGAGCCAATACACACAGCTACAAGGAATGAACCTCAATGAGAAATGCATGTTTGGAATCGTATGGTACATAGCCCTGCGAGAAATAACAGCTGGCCTAGCTGGTTGGCAGGCACAATGCGTGTGGATGTGTGAGCAGTGAGCAGTGGGGAATGTGGAGGATGGGCTGCAGGCACGGGAACTATTGCAGGCCGTACTTGGAGAGATACTCCCTGGCTTCAGCTATGTCCTGCCAGCAACACACATGCACATGAGAGACATGCATGCCAGCACACACGAATCCACACATGGCAGCACATGCAAATCCACATGGCAGCACGGGCCAATCCACGTGGCAGCACATGCAAATCCACATGGCAGCACGGGCCAATCCACATGGGAGCACATGCAAATCCACATGGCAGCAGACACAAATCCACATGGCAGCAGACACAAATCCACGTGGCAGCAGACATGCATGCTGCACATGTGAGTCCGCGTACCCATGCAGTTCCTTGAAGCATGCATCTACAAGCAGAAGCGATCCAGAGGACATGAGCATGAAGCCATTGAATCACCCCCATCCCAAGGCAACACAATGAGAGGTCCCGCATGCTCATGGAAGACTGGTCGGCCACACTGCCATGCATGCGTCTCTGCGCCATCCCCTCATGCCCCTGCCGTCATTCACAAGCTACGGGCCCTGCAGCAGCCACAGCCTTCGCTACTATCACACTCGCCCAAGTCACCTTGCGCAGCAGCGCGCCCTCATGTGGGCACGTGGGGAAGCGCATCAGCCCGTAGCCCAGAGCCCCCACGCCGTAGCACCCCAGAGCCACAAACGCGTACACTGGCAGCTGCGCCAGGGGGGAAGGGCAAAGAGTTGGGGGCAGGTGGGTGGGCGGTGGGCAGAAGGGGAAGAGGCAGGAGGCGTGAGGTGCCGTGGGGCGTGAGGTGCCGTGGGGCGTGAGGTGCCGTGGGGCGTGAGGTGCCGTGGGGCGTGAGGTGCCGTGGAGCGCCAGGCCGGAATGGAGAGGCAAACATCGGAGAAAACGCGAGGGGGAGCGAGGTAGGCACGGAGGGGAGTGGGACAGGGACGAGGGGGGGATTGGGAGGAGCGCATGGGCCACACGCGAGTGGGAGGCGAGTCCGACGAGAATGGCGGGGACGGGGCAGCGCATATTGCGGGGAGCGCAGTGGAGTTGTACGATGAGGATGACTTGATTGACGGCCGGCGGGAACTGCTGCGCCAGCAGCAGCGCCCAGAGGCCCCCCAGCGATACCGCGAGCGCCACGATCTCCTGAAACGTCCCTCCCGTCTTCATGCTTGCCACGCCGCCGCGTGATCCGGCGGCGCAAGAGGAAGCAGCGACGCGAAGAGGCGAAAGAAAGGCAGCAGGGCGAACAACTACGAAGCTCCGAGAGGCGGCTTCGGCACAAGCTGAGATTCGCACGTGCTCGAGAAGGTGGTGCGAGGGCGACACGCACTGGAATTGCCCCCCAAAAAGTGCCTTACTGGTGCGTTACTATACGCGAAAGAACCACTGGTCTGGACGAACTTCTAGCGTCAGCACCTATAGTTGATCCACGAAGCGCCAAGATTTACAGAAGTCCAGCATATGGTGGTAATTCGACAAGAGCAAGTCCCAAGAATTGCTGGAGAGAGAGCGTGCTGTTCAGGCAATATGGATGTGACTCTCTATCTTTTACCTATATACCAACCAAGCATGAATGCTAATGCAACGGCGCATCACCTCTCTACCGTTCAATGTCCATGATTTGGAAAAACATCTTGTAACCCCCCTAACACACCTGTATTAAAATTGCTTTACGCATCTCACAACTACGTAAACATAAACAAAAAAATAGGGGATACCTGAATTTAAAATTAAAATCAATATCACACATAAGGTCATAGAAAAATTGATGAGCGATAAGTCAACCCTGTTACAAAGCAACCATTCATTGTACTCGGTATGCTTTTGTGTAACATAACGGATCAGGAGGCATGATTCCCGGGTGGAAGCCAAGGTTCACCAGGAGTTGTAAGGAGATTGCTGCCAAGCTCCTCGTCATTCTGTTCTGCAACCAAACCCCACCCCAGTGCACCTCATAGGTCCTCTCCCCAGGCACAACGCACAGGGTTTAATACAGGGTTGATGCGGTAGGAGATTATAGACGTCAGATTATAGGCGTCGCGTCGTTGCTTAGTGACCATGGTACGTTCTCTAGTTCTTTCTCGATAGGCAAGTATGCATTTTGCCGATGTTCTAGAATTGACGTCGTGCCGCTCGTTTCTCTCGTCTCCTATCTTGGCGGCTCTTGTGATGCGCAGGCGTTATTCCTGTTGTTCGAGTCGTCGTCGGGCTACGGGCTGTTCGAGGTCAAGGCGCTGGACGAGCTGGCGCAGAGCTCGGACGCCGTTCAGGCGTCCGTGGCGGATCTCACTCGCTTCAGCCAGGTCGTCAACCTCTCCGCATTCAAGCCCTTCAGCTCAGCGGCAGATGCTCTCGAGCAATGCAACGCCGTGTCTGAAGGTGTGCTCTTCATCCCTCGTCGCATCCCCGTGGCTGCGCCTTTCCGTTGGGCGCTCTCCGCCAGCCGTGATGCTGTCCGCTCGGACCTGGATAGCACACTGGGAATGTGCGTTGGGTGCCTTGTGCTCGTAGCGGTGTGCGCGCGTACTGAGGCGTGCCTATGCTTTTGCTTTTACGGTGCTGCTGCGTTCGTTTGCCGTGCGTGGCAGGGCTGCTGACGCCGGAGCTGCAGAGCTTTCTAGAGATGAATCTGCCCAAGTCGAAGGCCAAGGCGGGCAAGAAGCCGTCGTTCCAGCTGGGCGTGTCGGAGGCCAAGCTGGGGTCCGCTATTCAGGAGGCGGCGGGCGTGCCGTGCGTCAGCAACGACCTGGTCATGGAGCTCATGCGCGGCGTGCGCCTGCACTTCGCGCGCTTCGTCAAGGAGCTGAAGGAGGGCGACGTGGCGCGGGCGGCGCTGGGGCTGGGGCACAGCTACAGCCGGAGCAAGGTGAAGTTCAACGTGAACCGCGTGGACAACATGATCATCCAGGCCATCAGCCTGCTCGACACGCTCGACAAGGACGTCAACACCTTCTGCATGCGCGTCAGGTACCCGCCCACCCCCTCTCGCCTCCTTCCACCTTCGCCCTTCCGCCCACGCGCGTTTCACCGATTATGCGTGATTACTCAAACCCTGAAACACGTTCTTCCTGGGTTTTCCGCTCGCGTGTGCGCGTGCGCGTGTGGCGCAGGGAGTGGTACTCGTGGCACTTCCCCGAGCTGGCGCGGATCGTGACGGACAACTACACGTACGCGCGCGTGGCGCGGCGCGTGAAGGACAAGGCGACGCTGACGGAGGAGGCGGTGGCGGAGCTGACGGAGATCATCGGCGACGAGGATAAGGCCAAGGAGGTGCTCGACGCCGCCAAGGCCAGCATGGGTCCGTGAGGGGGCGGGAGGGGGAGGGTATTTGGACACTCGGGCGAGAGATGGGGCACGGCAGCAGAGGAGTAGGGGGCCGCAGAGGCAGCAGTGGGTGGCGGGTAGGGGAACGATGGGGCAGGGGTCTAGCCAGTGGTGTGCGCGCGAGAGTGCGCGCGAGGCGGGCGGCAATGAGGGGTTTCGTGCACTCTCGTTCGAGCTGCAATTCTGGTGTTTCCTCTACTCCGTTTCGCGTTCTCTCAGCCGTGGCTTCATCACCCGTCCATGCTGCGCCCTTCTCGTCGTACACCCCTCTCACAACTTCCCCCGTTCCACCCCCACACCCCCCCGCCTTCCCCCGTTCCCCCCCCCCCTTCCCCCACCTTTCTCCCCGGTGCGGGCGGCAGGCCAGGACATATCGCCGATCGACCTGATCAACATCGAGGCGTTTGCGTCGCGCGTGGTGTCTCTGGTGGAGTACCGCCGCGACCTGCACTCGTACCTCACGGCCAAGATGCACGACGTCGCGCCCAACCTCGCCGCGCTCATCGGCGAGATGGTGGGCGCGCGCCTCATCTCGCACGCGGGCAGCCTCACCAACCTCGCCAAGTACCCCGCCAGCACCGTGCAGATCCTCGGCGCCGAAAAGGCGCTCTTCAGGTGCGCGCGCTGAAAAGGCGCTCTTGAGGTGGGTTGCTGTTGCAAGGCTCTTTAGGTGGGTGCTGAATCCGCCTCATGCTTTCGTCCCATTCCTCGTCCCTCCCCTCATGCACACCAACGCGTGCATGCCAACAAGCCACGTTTGGCTTTCCACAACCCTCCTGCTGCCCATCAATCTTTTTTTTACCGCTCCCCCCCCTTTCTCCCTCCCTCCCCTCTCCTACCAGTCTCCTCTCCCACCCCCTTTCTCCCTCACCCCCGTGCTATATCCTTAACCCTGTCCCTAACCACCCCCTCTTTTGAAACCCCTCCCTCCCCCCCGCCCTTGGCGTGGGCGGCAGGGCGCTGAAGACGAAGGGCAACACGCCCAAGTACGGGCTCATCTTCCACTCGTCGTTCATCGGCCGCGCCTCCGCCAAGAACAAGGGCCGCATCTCGCGCTACCTCGCCAACAAGTGCTCCATGGCCTCGCGCATCGACTGCTTCTCAGGTGCTTGCCAGGAACCCTGTTGTTGAGCAGCTCTCTGCTTCCCTAAACCCTCAAAGACCGTCTTTTCCCACATCACAGTTCTGTCAACTGGTCCGATGTGCGCTGGTCGGCCATCAATCCGTGCTGCTCCTCCCTCGTCCCTGCCGTGCATGATCATGGTACAAATCCGTTTGAGCGCAGAGGCGAGCACGAGTGTGTTTGGCGAGAAGCTGAAGCAGCAGGTGGAGGACCGGCTGGAGTTCTACGACAAGGGCGTGGCGCCCAAGCGCAACCTGGACGTCATGAAGGCCGCCATCTCCGCCGCCAAGGCCCAGGCAGACGCCCAGGCCGATGTCGGCACCAAGCGACCTGCAGGTGCGTCTAGGGCCGCCAGCAAACAGCAGGTGATTGTGATTGTGAGTGGTTGCTGGTCAACAGGTGATCGCGGGTCCATGGCAGGCATGCGTGGCATGATGGCATGATGGCATGACGCGTTGAAGCAGACGCTGGGTGGCCGGGTGGCTATGTTGCTCAGGATTGTGCTGTTGGAAGAACCCACCAGCACCCATCATCTCCCACCTTTTCATCTCCTACCTTGTCATCTCCTGCTGGGTTTGCTCAACTCCACCTCATTGCCTTCCCTCTTGTGCTGCCGTTGCTGGTGATGGCAGAGGGCGAGGCAGCAGCAGGGGGGGGCACAGAGGAGACACCGAAGAAGAAAAAGAAGAAGGTGGCGGCAGAGGCAGATGGGGAGACGCCAGGCAGCGGAAAGAAGAGCAAGAAGAAGGTGAAGGCTGAGGCAGCTGGTGGTGCTGCTGCAAGTGCTGAGAAACCAAAGAAGAAAAAGAAGGCAGCTACGTAGCCATTGTGTAGCTGTTGGGGGGATGGGGAAAAGGAAAGGGAATTAGGGAGCTCGATTTTTCTGTAATTTAGAGTCAAGATGTGCAAAGGAAGGTAACTACACTGCAGAAGCATCCTTGCCGTTTTATGCACACGAGTGACATACCTGTCAGAGTAACGAAGTGAGCTCTAGCAAGAGCATACAGGGTGATACACAAGGGTTTGGGTTGTACTCTCTAAGAACACAAACCTAGAACATATACCTGTTGGGTTGTACTCACTAGAAGCACACACCTAGTCTAGCCTATAACTTCTACATAGGACATATGTATAAGTTGACACACCCCCTAGGCTAGATAAGGGGTGGTGCTAAGCAAGAAGCACACAGCTCAGGGTGGCACTACTAGTCCAACCACTGAGGCAGGGGTCCGGAGACCAGTCAGCAAGAGTACAAACAAGACTAAAGCAAGCCAGGGCGGCACTACTAGTCCAGCCACTGGAGGTAAGGCCACAAGCAGGCCTGTCGTTATCAGGGTATTTTACCCTGATTCCCTGATTTCACAGGGTATTTTTTTGGCCAACCCTTAATTTTCAGGGTTGGGCTTTTTTGAACCCTAACCTCTTCAGGGTTGTATGTCTGTGAACACTGAGAATTTCAGGGTTTGCGTTATCCCAACACTGAGTTTTCAGGGAGTAACGCGTACGAACCCTGAGTGCGACATCCATGTGGCTCACAATGCGGAAATTTAGGCGAAGTCCCCAATCTCCAGAGACATTCCCCCCCACACGCAACAACCTACAAAAATTGGTGAAGTCCTCAAACATTCCCTCACACACCAAGCAACCCACAAAAATCGGCTAAGTCATGTGTCGTACAGACATCTCCCCTACACACTAACAACAACCCACAAAAATTAGCTAAGTCTATGAAAATGTAACGGTCAAGATCGATTGCGATCGTTTCGACATACTTAAACCGTTAGATGGTCACATTGATCAACGTCCAAGATCTCCCAGCCGGGGCGCTGCTAGGGCGCGAATTTTCTCCGACCGCCCTATTACCCAGCTTCCCCCCTCCAATCCACTTCGATTCCTCCCTCCCCTCCATTTTCGCTCCCCCCACTCCCCCTCCGTTTCGTTTCCCCCCTCCCCTCCATTTCGATTCCCCCATCTCCCCTCCGTTTCGCCCCTCGCATCTTGGTTTTGATTCCCTCCCCCTTTCTTCCTTGGTTTCGACTCCCCCTCCCCTCCGTTTCGATCCCCCCTTCCCCTCCGTTTCGATCCCCCCTTCCCCTCCGTTTTGATCTCCCCTTCCCCTCCGTTTCGATCCCCCCTTCCCCTCCGTTTCGATCCCCCCTTCCCCTCCGTTTCGATCCCCCTTCCCCTCCGTTTCGCTTCTCCCATTCCTCGACTGTATTTCGAACTTCCCCCACCCCCCAACCCCCACTTTTTCCCTCCCCGTTTCGCTTCCTCTCTTCCCCTGTGTTTCCATCCTCCCCCTTCCCCTCCGTTTCGCTCTCCCCCTCCCCTCGGTTTGATTCCCTCCCCTTTTTCCCCCCATTTTTTATTCCCCCCTCGTGTTGAAGGCAACCCTGAACGCGCTCGGTGAACCCTGGGATTTTCAGGGTTCCAGATTTCTGAACCCTTACAAATCAGGGTAGGCAATTTTTGAAACCTGAGCCCTCAGGGTAAACTTTTTTTTTTATTCGACAGCTCAGGGGGGTTTTTTTTGAAACGTCAGGCCTGGCCACAAGGCCAGTCAGACAGGTATATGTAGTAGAAAGTACATAATCATGGCCCTAGCAAATGAGAAGCTACAGGAACAAGACCAAGCTGGACACAGTGCCGCTGATGATCTTTAGGCGCAAGCGCCTTAGTAAAGATATCAGCTGTGTTGGCACCGGAGGCCAAGTGAACTACACGGGCCTGGCGACGCTGCTGTAACTCGCGCAGGAGGAAGTACCGCAGCTGGATATGCTTCGCTCTGCCCTCAAGCCGAGGCTCCTGACACAGGAGGATCATGGCCCTGTTGTCAGCGAACAGGACCGGGGCAGAGCTAGGCCGCTCACCTAAGTCAGTAAGCAAGAAGGTCTGCTCACCTAAGCCAGCGAAGCTCCTGTGCCGCCATGGCACCAGCGTAGATCGCAGCCTCACAGCTGGACTGAGCAACAGACGACGAGCGAGTGGATCTCCAAGAGATAGCACCCGAACCAAAGCTAAAACAGTAGCCCTGAGACGACCTGAGAGTCTCAGAGTTGTCTGCCCAAGAAGCGTCTGTGTGACCAGTGAAAACCACCGGCCTGCGTCCTCCTAGCACTAACCCCATGCCCGATGTACTTGCTAGATATCGCAAAACCCTCTCAGCGGCCGACCAGTGCTGTGGCCGGTGTCTGCCAGTGGCCACAAAGCGAGCCAGGATGCTGAGAGGGTATGCAACATCTGGGCGAGTGCAAGTCATCAGGTACATGAGGCAACCCACCAGCTCTGCGTAGGGTCCACTGGGCTCTACTGGCTTTGTAGGAACTGGAGCAGAGAGCCCATGGTCTACAGGTAGAGGTGTGGGCTGTGCGGAGGAGAACTGAAGACCGAACCTCTGAAGGACCTGACGCACCAAGTGTGACTGTGTCAGAGTGATGGTGCGTGCTGCTCTGTCCCTGGAGATCTGCAGGCCAAGATAACGACGCAGCTCTCCAAGGTCAGTGCAGGTGTGCCTCTTCAGCAGCTCGGCCTTCACAGAGGCCAGTGCGTCCCTTTCAGCAGTAGCATAGACCAGGTCGTCTATGTAGACAAGGATGTAGAACGGAGTCTGGCCGGAACGCACAAACAGCGAGGGGTTAACAGAGGACGGAAAGAACTGCAGGTATGCTAACGTGGCACGCAGCGTGTCGTGCCACTCGCGAGGAGCCTGACGCAGGCCGTAGACCGGGCGCCTGAGAAGCCACTGGGTCCCAGGAGGGAAGGTACCAGTGAAGCCCTGAGGTCGACGCAGGTAGACCTGCTCGTGTAGGCTGCCCTGAAGAAAGGCAGTAGAGAAGTCGAGGGAGTGAAGCTCGAAGTCGCGCTGTGCTGCTACGTGTAGCAGCGCCCGAAGAGTAGTCATCTTCGGGGTCGAGGCGAAGGTCTGGAAGAAGTCAACCCCCTCGCGCTGGCTGAAGCCTTTGGCCACGTAGCGCGCCTTGAAGACAGGCGGCTCTCTTTTGGGGGCGCTTCACCTTGAAGAGCCACCGACCATCGACTACGTTCACCCCAGGCGGGGGAACTGCGTCGACGTAAGTGCCGGTGGACCTCCAAGATGCCATCTCCTGCTCCATGGCAGCTATCCACTGAGAGGCCCAGGGTCCCGAGGTGGCCTCAGCGTAGGTGCGAGGGGTCGGGATGTCGAAGGCGTCTGGGTCACCCTCTGGGACTAGGAGCATGGAGCAGAGATGGGGAGCGGCCTCGGAAAGGAAAGCAAGCTCGTACTGCCTGTCCTCTAGTACGTCACTGCCAAGGGCAGGTGCACCCCCGACGGGCGCAGGATGGGCAGGGTCAGAGACCAGAGCGGTAGCGTAGTCAAGGCGGCGGGTAGAGGCGAAGTCAGCGACAGCAGCAACAAGCGCGTCAAGGCAGGAGACAGGAACAGACGGGTCTGTAACAAGAGAGGCAAGGACTCGAGGGACAAGGGGACTAGCAGCACGGAGGTAGTCAGACAGCGGGGGAGGTGCAACAAGGAGCGACGAGGGAGGAGGCGAGGGGAGGAAGGGAGGGCGAGACGAGTGAGAATGGAGTAACATAGGATGGGAGCGCAGGACAGGGGAGACGGGACGAGCACGGGAGGGACGGCGAGACCAAACGTGGGACGGAGGTGTAGGGTCAGGAGACAGCGGAGGTGACACAAGGGGGGAACGAGGAGGAAGACGGGCCGGAGAAGAGTCCGGGGGTGGGAACACAGGGCCGTAGATAGGAAGGTGAGGAGGACGTGGGGGAGACACTGGCGAGCGGTCAGGGGAGGGAAGGCCGAGCAGGCGAAGAGCGGAGACCGGCGGCGACGACTGCGGCGGCTGCTGCGGCGGCTACTGCGGTGGCTGGTGCTCGACCCTCGAACCGGCAGGGGCACGACGACCTCTGGGAGAACACTCAACAGCAGCACCCCCAGAACCAACACCCCCAGAGCGAGAACCCTCTCCAGCCCCAGCGGCACCCCCAGCCCCGCCGGGACAGACCACACCAGGAGCCGCAGGACGAACACACTCCTCAGCGCCAGCACCCCCAGAGGCCAAGAGCGGCAGCGGCGGCAGCGGTGGCGGCGGCGGCGGCGGCGGCGGCAGCAATGACAGCGACGACTGCGACAGCGGGGGCGGAGACACCAGGGAAGGGGGACGCGGCAAAGGCGGGGCGGGGGGAACACCAGAGTCAGCAGACTCCTCAATAGGGACAATTGACGGGAGGGGAGTGACATGGGAGACACCAGACGGGGCAGGACGCGGTGGGAGGGGAGGAGGGGCTACCGGGGGAGAGGGGGCAAGGAACAGGGGGGGGGAATTCGGGAGACCTCGGTGAGGGAAGCAACAGTAGAAGGAGACGGACTCGTCAAAGGTGACGTCACGAGAGTGGAGGAAGCGGTGAGACTACGGGTGGTAGAAGAGCCAGTCAGACGAGTCCAGGGGGAAACCAAGGAAGACACAGGGGACAGTGCAGGCAGTGAGCTTGTCCGTGCCAGAGGCACGAACGTGAGCAAGGCAGCCCCAGACGTGGAACGCAGACGCGTCACCGGGGGACCCGGTCCAAAGGAGGGTCGGCGAAACCTGCGGCCGCTGGGAGCGTGGCCACAGGTTAAGCTGGTGAGCGGCGTAGCGAACGGCGAACGGCCACAGAAAATGGGGTGCACCGGCATGGATCATGGAGGTACGAGCCACCTCCATGACCAAGCCGATGCGGCGCTCAGCAGCCCCATTCTGCTGTGGCGAGTCCGGCAAGGTGTACGACTGGGTGATGCCCTCCGCACGACAGAACTGTCCAAGCCGACCAGAAGCGAACTCTCCGCCACGGTCAGAGTGGAGACACAACACGGGGAGACCGCGGTGAAGGCGTGCAGCCACAACCCACGGGAGAAGAACGTCGGGCACATTGGCCTTCCGCTCCAGGGGAAACACCGTGGTGTAGCGCGTGTAGTCGTCGACGAGCACAAGAAAGTATCGCT